GGGAGAGGGAGAGAGAGAGAGAGTGAGTGAGAGAAAGAGTGAGAGAGCGAAAGTTCGGGCCAGGGCCCTTTCGAGGGCTCATACACCCAGCAAGCAAGCAAGCGAGAGTTTGGCAGGGGAATGTGAGCTGTTGCTTCCTCCCGACTGCGAGGCCACTTACAGGTCATTGCATCCGTGGCTCCTTGATCCTAAACCTGGGTGGTTGTCAAAATTATGGTCCCTTTTTGGGTCCTTATTATAATACGGCACCTATTATTTAGGGTACCCCAAAAAGGACCATAATCTTGACAACTACCCACCTGAGAGCTCTGGCAGTCTCCGACCCCCAGGCGCCGCGGCTTCAGCTCTCTACCGGACGCATCCTGGGCGAATATGTCGGGGCCACGGAGCACTTCAGCTCCATCCCATTTGCCGCACCGCCCCTGGGAGAGCGCAGGCTCCGCGATGAATCAAACGGTAGCCGTGGCGACCAAAAGATGAGACTAAACTAAACGCTAAGCGAACCTTCAAACAGTATCACGCCATGTGACCATGGATCCCCGCCTGGCTTGTCCGAGTTGTGAGAGCGTAAATGACCCGAACCCGACTCTCTTCAATATACTGTGATGCCGCTTTGTTGGAGTCCACCCGTGACACCCCATGCTTTTACCTTCGGCTAGTATGTCACAGGTAGTTAGCCGCGTGACGACACACCCCAATCAAGGTATCCAGTAGGTCCGTCCTAGCCAGGCAGGGGGGAAAAAAAGGTATCCGGTTTTTGTTCTTATGGACTTCGAGAGACCTCATGTGGTTGAGTCCGAGTTGCGAGAGCGTAAATCCTAAACCACAAAATACCAGCAGGGATGTTCCTCTCTGAGGGCTTTGCCACACTTTGTCAGCTTTGACTGTGCAGGTGGCGAAAGCCCGCTCCGGTACAACCCTGGCAGGGGGAGTCTGGTCCTGTTTCGGGAAGCATCTGCAGGCATGGAATGTTGAGAGGTTTGGAGTTGACATGCAGAAGGGAGAAAGGGGGATTCTCATACATACATATATATATATATATATATAGAACCCTCAGTAGCAAGACCTTTTGTGCACAGGCGATTATGGTTTGCACAGGCATGCTGGTACAACGTGACGTTTGGATACAGACAAGCCACGCACCTTAGAAAAAGGCAGTCAGCAAACACAGACACACACACACACACACAAAGTAAGTAAGTGAGTGAGTGAGTGCGTGCGTGCGTGCGTGCGTGCGTGCGTGCGTGCGTGCGTGCGTGCGTGCGTGCGTGCGTGAGTGAGTGAGTGAGTGAGTGAGTGAGTGAGGAAGTAAGTACTCAAGCAAGCAAGGAAGTAAGTAAGTAAGTCAGTCAGCCAGTCAATCAGTAAGTACGCAAATTAGGTAAATAAGTAAGTGGGTAGGTAAGTAAGTAAGTCAGTAGGTAAGTAAGTAAGGAAGTAAGTAGCCAAGTAAGTAGCTGCAGACCTCTACACCCAGCAACCATCTTTGGCAACGCCAGTGCTCGACCCAAAACTCACAGGCCCAGAGTCTGTGGAGAGAGTGCAGCTCAAGCTCAGAGCAGCTCAGGAGCTGGACTGCAGCAGCCACCGGGCTCCGGATGATCGCCGAGGGCGACCCGTGCAGTGGGTGGATCCGAGGTCGACGGATCGGCTCCCTAACGATGCTCGCAAGCCGAAAAGATTAGGCTGATCCGTCAGTGGACGGCCTAAGCCATTGAGAGGTTTGCTCGGACTTCGCGCAAACACCGTCAAGGCGAATGTAGGGAAGCCTTCCTGCTTTCCAAGGAAGACTGCCTGTACCTTGACCTTTGGTTGCCCAAGGGCACGGCAGAGAGATCTGGAAAGCCTCTTCTTCCGGTTCTAGTTTGGATCCTTGGCTGCTCTTGGGTGCAAGATGGAAATAGGCACCTCTTGGAAAACAAATGATAGCCGCTTTTGATGTCAAGGGAGCAAGAGGCCTCAGCATCCTCAGAACTTCGAGAAGAGTCCCCCAAAGCGTCGTGACTCCAACTGCCTCATCTGCCTCGATGTTTCAGCGGCAGGATTTGGAAGCTTCGTTTCAAGACTCCTGGAACTGCAAGTTTGGAAATACACCTCAGAGTGCCCTCCCCGACAGCGGACTCCCTTTTGTTGAAGGATCTACGGCGGTGGACTCCTTGGTGGCTCCAAGGATGACCCCGGCTCCTCAGGCCAGGGCTCTGATCGAGTCTACATGAAGCGCGGGTCTCTGCTGTAAAGAGAGCGCCCCCCCACCCGCGCCAGGCCAGTGCTACGCGGAGCAGGGCATCATATATCTGTGGCTTCGCCGCAGACACGTGACACCCTATCCAACGCTTGCATCCTCCGTCCTTGGGCGAAGAAACCCAGGAGCATCAACTACCGCGTCGGGGCCCTTGGCTTTCTTTGCCCCAAGGGTGGCGACGCGAACTGCGGCCTCTGGGACCAGGTGGGACCAACATTTGTCAACTTTGCAGAGGCTTGCGGTTTGCGGTAGTCATGTTATCGTTCTTTTTCTTCTTCTTTCTATTATTATTATTACTACTACTGCTGCTGCTGCTATTCCTCCTCCTAGTACTACTACTACTACTACTACTACTACTACTACTACTACTACAGCTACAGCTACTACTACTACTACTACTACTACTGCTGCTGCTACTACTACTACTACTACTACTACTACCACTACTGC